GCCGGTGGTTGAAAACCCAATACCGGCTATCCTTATGAACTGTGATAATCAAACTGTGATTACTAAAGTGAACAGTGCTAAGGATAATGCGAAGTCAACAAGACATGTTAAAAGATGTTTGAAGACTGTCAGAAAGTTGAGAAACTCTAGAGTAATAGCTGTGGCCTATGTGCAAATAGACAAAATCCTGATAGATCTCTTTACAAAAGGGCTATCACGGAATGTGATAGAAATTGCATCAAGGGAGATGGGTATGAGACCCATGTGAGTTTACAGTAGTAGTAACCCAGCCGTTTTATCGGAGATCCCGTGACTAAGGATCTAGGAAGAACAAGCTATTGGTAAACTGAGGAGAGTAAACTATAACCCTCTCTATGTGAATACGCAATACTCTCCAAGCAATGAGGCACTGTATGGTAGGTTGGCGAATGTCTTAATGTGTTCTATTGGCTTTAACAAGTGAAGATGTTGTCCTGCAAAGCATTCTTGAAAGAACATACCTATATGAGCCCGACTGTATAACGTCGCAGTCTATGAGACTTGGGTGATCTCTAGTAAGCTCATGAAGAGACTAGGGGGTACGATGTATATGCTCCATCCACGGGGAAGGCTACTGGCAGCCAGGTACTGTTTGACTTTGAGTAAAACTCGTTCGCATAAAACTTGCAATTCAAGGCATAGTTCATTGTTCAAGTTATGGATGGGTGTAACTTAAAGCTCTACGTGAATGTTCAACTTAACAGTCTCTGCTGAAACATTAGTATATAAACAATAGTAGGAGAATAAAAATATCTATATTGGATAGTTGAGATTTGGTGGGGGATTGTTAGAATTTATATGGATAGTTCCCTAGAATACTTATGAAGAAATTCTAATAAATTTCAAAGGCTCAATACTTGTGTTCCTTAATGGGCTTTAATGTTTAAGCCCATGAGTAGAGGTGGAAGGTACAATATCAATTAGTACCATATTGCTAGTTGATGTGGAGATATGGGGTTCTCATCCGTATATATATGTACCAATTATCCTGAGAAAAGACACACCAAAAACTACTATTGGGAGTTCTAGTTTGAAAAATTCAAATGTAGTAAATTAATATTTTTCTCTTCTCGCTGCTGCGCTGCCACCGTAGTCTCTCAATCCCGGCGTCTGCATGCACCGACGTTCGGGAGAGCAGGTCTCCGGAACCCTCGTCCTTGTGATCTCGGAGAACCCCGTCCTTGTGATCCTGCACTGAGAGATGACGAATAAGGTTTGTAGGAAGCACTCATCGCGTGACTGCTCCCGACTTTCACGACGGGTCGTCTTCCATCCAAGTCAGGCAGGACGAGTCGTCTTCCATCTAAGTCAGACAGCGCTATGTCCCGGCGTATTCGTCATCAGCTGCTCCGAGCTCTTCCTTCACCACTCATCGACGACTTAGTACCACCAACAGCTCCCTCTGCATCATCATCTTCACCAGCGACACCTGCATCTTCTTTACCAGCGACACCATTTGCTTCTACAAACAAAAGGTACACGCCACGTGACCAATCTATTATTGTCGTTCGTCTACTGTATTGATCATGATGATCTTAGTTATGTTGCTAGCTATATTGCTATTAATGTTGCTTGCATATTAGTTTATGAGATTGTCATGTATTTTACTATTAATCGGAAAATTAACGAGGAAATTGACTAATTATTCAACATACAAGTGCTAGAAGTGCGACATGGTCTCTCGCCTCGGTGCATTCGCCGCCGGTCGCGGTCGTTGGTAAGCTTCGTCGCCTCTCGTCGTGCCATTTTTGGCCCTTGCTTTTACTAATTATTACCGGAGGCTGTGTAAACGGTCGTCTGATCGCTGGTTTCGTTGGTTTAGTTCCGTTTTCATGATCTTCCCCCATCGTCTCACCGAAGACGACGATGTATGCGGAATTGCGGATGGCTTCGACTTCGGCCTGCACGTTGGTTTCCTTTCCGCGGCTTCTCCCTCTGGTTCCGCCATCGTGATGACAACTTAGGCGAGGGCTTCAGTGCCGCATCCTCCGCCTCCCCGACCACATCTGCCACCATCTCCGTCGTGCACGAGGTCAGATAGTGAAAGGAATTGTGCCGCCCCAATCTGGAGCGTCAAGAATCCTGGAGGACCTTTGATAGGCCTAGGTGCTGCCAATCCAGCAACGGTGGGCTTTGCCTACCTGCATGCCTTTCATCTATGTCGGCTTCGGCGTTGCACGGTCTTCGTATCCGACGCCAACAATCAGGACGACACACAGTTAGGCCTAGCTGTGCCTCCACCCACCATGGCCTAGCTGTGATTTACCTTGATTTTTCTTCAATTGATGTATATATTCATATATCTCTTGCTCTTTCTATTGGAGATAACGTATCTGTGCTACCCGGGAGTGTCCATGAGCAAGAAGCCTCCTACAGGTGTCGTTGACAGAGTATGCTCGTGGCGCACGCCATGTGTTCGTTTCATTGCCTCAACCAATACAGCCTGGTTCGTTCTCCACTGGTTAATTTGATTCCATCCCGATGCTTAAGCTTGGTTTAGGTAGCAGTGCTGGAGGGATGCTGTGTCACTGATGTGTTTATATATGGCTTTGCTGCCCTTCACGTATGCACATACACAGTTCCAAATGCAAAAACAACAAGCATCCCAAACACGATTTTGTTTCTTTGCTGCTGAAGGTTGTCGCAGGTGACTTACCGAACCTCAACAACAATTTGAAATAGCTGAGCTTATATAAAAGGCACATTGTTACGGTCATTCTCTTATTTTCTTCAGAGAGTATGTTAGGCTATACATGAATGAACAAGAATTTTTTCTCTTTGTTGTCGTCAATACAATTGATAACCATTTACCTGTGAACTGTTCCTCTCACAAGGTACATCAATGGAAGAATAGATAACAATGTTAATGCCCCATCTAAAACAAGGATACCACAACAATTTTTTTCAGGTTGTCAATGCTCGTGTGCATCTTTACATAACTGTTGACCACCCTTATTTGATAAGACTGCCCATAGAAAGGTGTAGGAGATCAAGATCATCCCTCCTAATTTTCTTGAGTATGCATACTCAATATCCCCATCTGAAGCATAGAAAAATAGAATGGTATTACTTAATATTGTTGAGGTATATAGATTACTTTGTTTATTGCTTTATGCTGCTATGCTTCTATAAAAATATTAGTTAAATTTTACTGTAGTTTTCTATATGGATATTCAACTATATCAAACCTCTATCTGACAAACCCATCTCTTCCGGATGTTTGTTATATAAGTTGTATATGCAGGAACCAATGGTGTTCTCAGTTCTCACAGGCTGCACTCATGTAAGACTGCAGAGCTCCAAGACAGGAGCAAAGCCCACTTCGCAATGTGAACTTTGCCGATGGAAAGTATGTTGTCAGAAAAGGCATGTGCTATTTTTCCTACTGTGATTAGTAGAGTATTTTCTGCGGTGCTTCTTTTATTATTATTCCCTTCATTACCATACTACAGAGACACTGTTGTGATTGCTCTATGGGGTCAAAAAGCTCATTACTTCGCTGCTAAATACTACATGGACATGACGGCTAACCAGTTGCTTTCTTTTTTCTTGGTCTTATGTGTCGCATGTTTGACAATCCAATCCACATCACTTCAGCCTGTAACCCTAACTGCTGACCAGGTCCACTTGATTGATGCTTGCCTTACCTGTTTACTGCACAAAATGCAAAGTGAGCTTCTTTGGTACTCATGTTTTCATTTTTGCAGAACAATTGACCATTTACACCTGCCCCATTTGCAACTCCACCCCCACAAGATGATTCTGTTTTTTTTTTTTTTTGACACAAGGACTGTGGGGGAGATCCCTACAGTAGATTTTATAAATAAATTAGGGGGTAACCATTAAGCCTGCAATAAGTATATTACGTCTAACACACTGTAATGGTTTTTGTTACATACTCGGCCATCCCATCAATCTTTAATGCTATATTCTCATGCTACAGGCATCATTGTTAGATTGTTGATTCAAAGACCTAAAGTCAGAGGCGACTAACCGAACACCTTGATGGTGATCAACTCGGCGATGCCTCAAGGTAATGCAATCACACACTAAATCCCAATTATGCCACTCACGATTACAGAATAGTTATCACTGCTGACTATTCTTTAAGTCTTCTCCATCTCCAATTTCTTTAGTTTTGCAATACAGTATCCCAATAAAATTCTATATCTTAGCTATGTCATTGATAGCTTAGTGCACTGCTCTATTCATCAGCCTTGAAGTTAAAGCACATGCCTTCCCAATTTGTCAACAGTAATCAATATGTCCTTATCAAGTCAGTTCAGCATCTCACTTTATATATGCATTTATTGATGCGGTTGACCTGGCCTGGAAAACTGACAAGAAGGTTAAAATGTGTTTAAGCTTGCCAAACTCTGCAAGCAAAGGAAGGTATATACAGCAAGACTATACACTCCACTGTCAGTTCTATATTTTCTTCTCAGGCACTGCATCAAACAGCGCCATGGTTGCCAATCTACATGCTTTTTGCAAGCTGTCGTACTACAAATAGGTTATCCATGACCATGGCAATTCTAACAATGATAAAATGTGGCTTGCGGCACCTGTGGCCTTGGTAATGGATCCTAATGTATAGGCCTGCAAAATATATTCTAGCACACACAGACACGCTGGATCGATTTCCATATGCAATGGTTGTCGTGTAATGGTTGTCGATGTTCCAGTCAAGTAAAGTTAATGCTTTATGCTAGCCTTACATCAATATGAACAATTAGCAGTTCTTGTTTTGAGCATAAAACAACAAACACTTGGCTTTTGCCCAGTTAACCCATGCTCTTAACTGCCCTAGTACTGGATGAGAAAGCACATGCCTAGAATTTTTAGCAACCTAATTAACAACAGTGCCATGACACACACTATAAGGCATTAACACTGTGAAAACTCTTAATAAACTAGTATACTAATATAGAACTGTTGAAATAAAATTAAAGATACTACGATCATCCAGAGATGGAAGCCATGCAGTCGCCGGTGTCCTCTGGCAGTCCGTCGACGAGGCCACGCAGGCCGGGCTTGGGCTCATTGTTGCAGAACTGCCGGTACTGAGTGGTGTCGCCAGCCTTCTTGCAAACCTTCACCATGACGAGCTCAGGCGTGAGTTCGAAGATCTTGGCAGAGATAAGGAGCACGCCCTGGTTCCCGTTCCTCGTCTCCTCGATGCTCACCTGGTACTCCTTGGTGCGCGCCGTGAAGCTGACGTTGTAGCACCCCAGGTGCCACGCAACCCAAGGATGCTACACGACTACACCACAAAATGCCGAACTAGAAAATTTCGGCAGCAAATACCTTGAAACCAGCCCAACGCGGAAGCAACAAATAGATAGATTATCAAGCGTGGTTCTCTAACATAACAACTACTCGACTTAAACAAACATGAATAAGGATACTCACATCTCATAAACTTAAAAGAACACATCTTAGCATTATGTAGGATCCCGTGAAAGTGTATGTAGTGCAACTAACCCACTTCCCTCCATACTAGCATCAAAAGACAACCTGGGGAGGGGAAAACAAGAGTGAGATTGAATAATCTCAGCAAGCGAACTACTTCAACAGGCTATTTAAACCACATTAGATTAACTAATCATTCGATAAAGTAACAAGTATTAACATCTCCACCAATCTACTTGATATACCAAGAATTATGCGATCATGGCAATGGCAAAAACAACATTAGTCTGTACAATAGTTACCATAACAATTGATATAAGGTCCATGTAGAACAATAGTTAACAACCCTCAAAAGCCATAGCATATAGGCCTCCATAACAACTAAAAATATAGGTAGCATAAATACAGAACATATACCTAATACAGAACATATACCTGAAAAAAAATGGAATAACATTTGCAATGGCATTGAAGCCCATAGGAATGCTATGCAACAACACATATAATATCTCCACAGTCCATAGGCCATACCATAATACACATCACCATAGAGAAGCATCACTTATCATGTTAGTCATTGCAACTCTATCACGCCAATATTTCAAATATCCATACATAACAAATATGCGAATGGCAAGAAGCTCACATACGATATATTCGAAATCCCATAAGTAACATCCCAGTGTATGTCGGCACAAGGTAACTTCATCACATCCCACATCCAAAACATTCCGAATTATATATCAATGCACATGAACTCCTGCCTTCACACCTATTAAGGTGTGAAGTTGTATCGGCACCCAATAAATGATGATGTATGTATATGCATGCATATGAACTCCTGCCTTCATACCCAACAAGGTATGAAGCTGCATCGTTATGACGATGCTGTACCGGTACCGTCGCAACCATAGGTTCGCGACATAACTCCAAATGCCATGCAATGCAATGTGATGCAATGCCACAATATAAATGCCATCTCCAGAATCCAAATACCACATACTCCATAATGACAAGAGAACAAGCCATGATAATATATACGGAGAGATGCATAAAGAGCTTATTCAACATAAAAAGTATCAACCATGATTGAATTATAGAATCTCATGTATGCCAAGTATCAACAAAATCATTCTCCATATCATGTTATCTATGGGTCACCTTCATTTTAACAGGTATAGGATAGAATGTAAGTATTATCTTTTTAAATATGGGGTAAAGCACCAAATCTGTAATCTAAGCTCAAACCATGTATATCATATTTAAAAAGGAACTTCTAAAATAGTGCTAGTCAGCCCGTAACTTAATTCTTAAGTTTGAACACACATATACCCAAAGACTTCTAGAAACTGCTTCTGACCTTACTCATAACCCAAAACTTCATTTGGTCCGCACGTGTTAGCCCTAGGAGACAAAAAGTAGCATAATGCCACAGATGTTTTCAAACACCAAGATCAACATAATGCTATAACAAATCCATCAGCTATTAAGCCACTAAGGATTCCATAGACTTCGTCTATAGTAAAAGAATCATGAGATAGTTTAAATTACCAAGTATGTGCCACATGTGCAATATACTATCAGCCTCAACCCTGAGTTCAAAAACCATCATCCATTGAACATTTCATTTATCTATGCAGCCATGTCGAATTAAAAAGGAATACACCCACTACATAGCTGTACTAGTAACATCATATTTATACTTCTGCCATAACTATGAGCATCATGTATGTTTTTCAGATTACCACATATAAGTATGTGTGCTGCATTTTATAAGTGGAGGCAGTAAAGATAGCATGTTAAAGTGGTAGCAACACAACAGCTACATTCACTTGCCTTTACCGACGATGAAAACGGACGCTAGTTGCGTCTCGAAGTGACTCCACCTGAACATACATGTTTTTCAGTTTGCAGCAGTACCAAAGATGTATATAAACAGCAAACAAATGCTTCCTATGCTCAGAAAAACCCCCACAAATAAGGCCTGACAACACTCTGGAAATTCAGCCAACAGCAGCACTGCTGCTTCGTCTTTTTGTATCTTTTAATCTATTAAGGCTATGATAGCAAACAAATACACTTTAGGGATCTACACAACAAGGCCTACAACTTTCATGAAGAGATTATATTTTTATCATGCTTAAAAGATGGCCTAATCGGCAGTTGAAAACAGGCTTCAGAATTTGTCTAACAATTGAGACAGCAGACTTCACATTTTTATAACTCCATATCCATTTGTCCAAAAATTATGAAATTTGGCCAGATTGCAAATCATCTAATGGTCTACAACTCTCATATTTCTCACATTTGCAGACAGGGTCAGCAAGGTGGCCCAATGAATGAGCAAAGAATAACTGAACATTCTGCAGAGAAAACAGTACCTCTAACTTTAAAAATCTATATCTAGAGTTCCTCTTATCCAAAAGCCATGATCTTTACCAATATGGAAAGCTAATGAAAAATTCTACAAGTCTCCTATAATTTGTAAAGTCATATAAATCCTCTAAGGTTCTTCAAATCCGGCTAGATCCAGCTCTGTCCAGATTTTCGTCAGAAAATAGCAGCTAGCTTAGAAAATTCATCTCTCTCAAACCATCTGGGCTAAAATCATGAAATTTCACAGACAAACAGATCTGAAGGTCCTCTATAACTTCCATATTATCAACTTGTTGAGGAAAAATCGTTTAGGTCAACTAAACCACATGAACAGCAGCACTGCTCGAGCTCCAGGACAGCAGACCCTAGGTTGACATCCAAATGGTGATTCCCCCACAAACCCACTAATCCCCATGACCAAGAAACATCTAAGCACCTCAATTAACAGTTTTAAAGTGGATTCACCTCACCTTGGATATTCCCCAAACCAAGGGCAGCAGGAAGAGATGGGGAAAGGACTAATCTCCGTGGAAGACGCACCTCTTCTTGCTCCTCTTGACATCCCCGATCCGTTTTGCTGGATCCCCCAAGGGTTTGGCGCTGCAGAGCTTGGATTCAAAGGTAGGCAGCCATGGGAGGAGGAGGGAGAGGGGAAGAACGTGAGGAAGAGGGGAGGGTCGGTCAGGAGGAAGGAGGGGGCGTGAGTGAAGGAGGGGCTGGCTGGCTGGGCCTTTAGCAGGCCTCCCCTTCCCTATCTTTCTTTTTTTTTTTTGGGTATTACAGACGTGCCCAGCGATTTCCTCCAGCTTGGAGATCTTGGACACGGGTGCGGCGGACACGAACCGCATCTGCTCGCTCGGGTCCTGGAACAACCCGGACAGGTCGAGGCTCGGCGAGGACGCGATGATGTCAAACGCGTTCAGACTCTTGGGGCGGCGCATGTGTGGCTGGGCTTGGACTGCGGCGCTACCCGTACTCTCGAGCGTGGTCAGCGACGGCGCCGACACCGAGGTATGCATGGGGCACGCCATCGGCGAGGCCGGATCCCCCGACAATGTAGATGACGATGTAGATGACGCCGTTGACTCGTCGTCAGAATCGGAGTCAGAGTCACGCAGCTCAGGCTCGGTGAGGCTCTGTGGGATCTCCTTGAAGTCTTTCTTGAACCAAAGATTTTCCTTCATTTGCGGTATGGCGATACGGCACGCCGGGTCGGGGCAGAGGATGCGGTGGACAAGGGCGACGAGGCCGGTACTGAACCACGGCGGGCAGTGGTAGTCGCAGCGGCGGATCATGTGGTACAAGCCGGTGGTGTCCTTGTGCTTGAAGGGGTAGTGGCCTGCCACGAGCGCGAAGAGGACGATGCCGCAGGCCCAGACGTCGGCCTTGGCGCCATCGTAGCCGCAGCGCAGGAACACCTCGGGCGCAATGAACATGGGCGTCCCGCATACGGTGTGGAGCAGCGCCTCCCGCTGCGCCGTGCCGGCTAGGGCCGAGAGCCCGAAATCAGCGACCTTGATGTTGCCCGTGGCGTCGACGAGGATGTTGTCGGGCTTGATGTCGCGGTGGTACACGCCGAGCGAGTGGCAGTAGTCGAGCACGGACACGAGCTGCTGGAAGACGCGGCGGGCTGAGGCCTCGCTGATGCCGCGGCCGGCGCGGTGGACCAGGTGGGCGTTGAGGTGCTGCCGCCGACGAATTCCATGACGACGAAGATGCTCTTCCTGGTGGCCATGACCTCGTGGATGCGCACGACGTGGGGGTGGCACACCCGGCGCATGATATCGATCTCGCGCATGATTTGATGCTGCACGGCGCCTAACTTGGACAGGTGATCTTTGTCCATGATCTTGATGGCCACCTCATCCCCGGTGCCTACGTTACGCGCGTGGTACACCTTGGCGAAGCTGCCCTTGCCGAGCAGCCTGTCGAGCTCGTACCACCCCATTAGCAAGCGGGGGATTTTCCCCATGCCCGTAACGCCGGCCGGCGGCGTGAGAGAGAGCCTGTGTATCCGGATTTTTGTTCTGTATGTAGGACAGGCTGAGATGCGTAAGGAAGGAAGGAAGGAGGTTAGGGCCCGTTTGGCATGGCTTTCACCGGCTCCGGCTCCGCCTGACAAAATCTGCGCTGACACTGTAGCGATGAGCCAATTTTCTCTCTCCACCTTTTTCCGTGTCACTGTAGCGGGGGGACTGTAGCATGCGGGAGATGAAGCCGGAGAAGCCAGGAAAACGAGCTTCTCTTGCTCCGATGAACAGTGCAAATGTCGGTGAGAGGGGGAGAGGATGAGAGAGGAAAGCCGCTTCTATAAACAGTACGCTATAGTATCAGTGTCAGGGAAGCCCGAGCCGGCCGGAGCCGTGCCAAACGGCTCCTTAGTATGTTGGGGTGGAGAGGGGACGGGAACAGAGTCGTACCCGTGAGCCGTGGACAGCTGGGATTTTGGTTTTAGACCTATTCTAATCGCGTTTTGTGTTTACACCGAAACTGAATCATAAGCCGTCGACGGGAGTCCGTGGCAGAAGGAGATCCGCACCCGTCCGGCTCGCCGTCGGTCTCCGCTGCCGCGGCCGAGCTGCTACTCCGGCCAGCGCTGACCCACCCGATCTCCACTGGCTTCCGTGAGAAGCACGACACCTTCATCCCATCCAGGTCCCCAACGACAAGTTTGTGGTTTCGCCCTCGCCCCCATAGTTGCATAGCAGCTTTGTCCGCTCGGTCTAATTTGTCGCGCATTGCGCCTGCAGCCAAGATGATGTGGTTGATCCGATGGATTTTGACTATTGTGTTCTGTTTCGAGCAGGCTGTGGGGCGCGCAGACGCAGAGGTCGCTGCAGAACATCGACATTGGTGGGGAGCATGAGAGGATGCCCGTGCCCATCGTCCGCGCCTTTGGCGTGCTAAAAAAAGTGCACAGGTACAAAGTCAAACTTTTTTTTCCGCGTTTTTCTTTCAGGCTTTCCAAGCCACCATTCAGATTTGATATTTATCCCCAAGCGTAAATTTATGATTGCATAATGCAAATTTTTCTTAAAGAGTAACTGCACATTTGAACGTGATCCATATAGAATCCCTATTAAGCTAGGTATAAATGTTTCTTATCTGTAGCACAAGTCCAAATGAATCAGTAATATTTATATGGGGTTTGGATTTTGGAGAGTAGAATAGATTATATCCAAGCATGTTCACATGGACAGAAACGTTAAAGCTGATAGAGTTTTTTTCACAAAACTTGAAAATAACAGGCTTGTTAGAATTCCTGATAGGTTTATATCCTCAAACCTGACAACTTTTATTAAAGGGAGGTTTATCTTAGGATTAGAAATTGGCATGTTCCAGCCAATGCATGCATGTATCATGGTGCACTGGAGTTGCCTGAAGGTTGGGTGTTCCCTTTTTGTTGAGTTTAGATATATTTGCTCCTTATAATGGTACATTAAGGGTTTATATATGTGTGTCTGCCAACCAGCTTCTTTTTTTATACGCAAAATAATAAGTGGCAACAAGTGATGAACAAATTGATAAGAAGCTTGATTTCTTATTCCTCTATTTTTTTTTTATCCCTCTCGGTGCCATGGTTGTGCCTATACTGACTGATGCATCATGCATCGGATTTTCCCGAACCCCTTCTCTGTAAATCCAAAGATTTCGGAAATTGTTGGCATGTGCTTTCCCCTTTGTAAATTGTGAGTGACCTTGTTGACTTCATTTGCTGTTTCTTGGTTTAGACGCAAGAGACTTCTCCAGAGAAGCAGAGCAGCTACTGATGCTGGTGGTTGTTCCTCAAGGTGTGTCAACCTGAAAAGCACTTTGTTTTCAACTAAATTGTGTCTTGGAATGATTTCAGTAGCTGAAATCAGAAATGATATTGTTTTTCTTTCCAACATGTTGCAGGTACATAAGGAGCAGATCAGTGATCTGTCAAACAATCTCAGTGTGGCCTGTAGGTATATTTTTCTAGTAGGAAATTATTCTGAAACTATTTTGGGGGAAAAGCAAAATCGTCTTCCATATGGAAGTGCCAAACAAATTACATCAACAACCAATACTAAACTGTTGTACATAAATCTCAAACCTGGTCTTACGCATGCATCAATGACTATCCATTTTTCTTTTGTGTTAATGCAAAATCCTGAAGTATGTTCAGGCTACTAATTAATGAATATAATTATGATATCTTTGCCATTTGCATTTTTTCCTGCTATTTTGCTATGATTGACAGAGTGCTTCATTATTTTATTAAGCCCCTCATGACTTCACATTCTGGTAATAGTGACTATTATGCCTTTTAATTTAAATCTTGTCAATGCATTTTTTTACACCACTGTGCTTCATTATTTTATTAAGCTTTCATGACTTCACATTCTGGTAATAGTGACTATTGTGACTTTTAATTTAAAAATCTTGTCAATTCAATTTTTTTTACACTATCAGTTATTTGTATTGTCAAATGTTTGCTGTTGTAGCCACTAATAGGATTTTGATGTAGTAGCAACACTTCTAAATATTTCTAATATCAAGATGCTGGATTCCTTTGCATGATTCATCTTTGATTTCTAAAACTATAATGGAGTATAGAAAGATTTAAGAGGGAAAGCCGCAGCAAGGACCTGAGAGAGCACAATGTTCCCTTCCTCGAAGAAGCAGCCCAACACTGGCGCTGTCAATGGCGGCGTAGGGGTATTCCTGTGTATTCCACGGAATACCCAAGATTTTGGAGACAAAACAAATATGTATATACATATGTATAATGTATAATGGTATAACATGTATAACATGTATAGTTGCTAGATGTTGCAAATATGGCCCAAAGCCCAACAGAAACCAGCAACTCTCAGCCCACCAAACAAAAAAAAAGCTCCCATCGCTTCCTGGCAGCCGCTCGCATCGCATCGCACGCGTCAGGAGCCGGCGGCGCGGAACGGTGGAAGCAGGGGCGGAACTGTGGAAGGAAGGGATCCCATCGGCTCGGCGTTCGGCGACGGCGAGCCTCGCGGGCACAGCGGCACACCGCATGCCCCCTCCCCCTTGGCCCTTTGATGTTTTGTAATCTTTCTTAATTATTAGAGACAATGGCACTATGCCACTATGTTCAGAGCTTGTACTTTGCTTATTACTATTGCATATTTGCATGGAAAAAAATTTATGTAGGTGGAATACCCAGCCGTGAAATCCTGGCTCCGCCAGTGGGCGCTGTGAGCTCAAATGATCAGCCTAAGTGTGGGCAAGGCGACCAGGGTGTGGCCTCGTCCTCACCACCTGATGCTAAGCCCTGTCTGGTGGATCGCTGAGCTCCATGACCGCTTCATCAATGCCGTTGCCCAGCTCAGAGACCTGAATAATATGTAATATAGATGCTTCATCAATTGCTTGGAATTTTAGTGGTTTAGTTTTCATTTGCTTTTATTCCTTTCTTTCGTATATAGGCAACTCGAAAGACTATCACGGGGTTGCGGTAATCAAGGGCATCACCTTCTACTTCTACCACCTCAAGAGTTACCTTCAGGTATGTAGCTGCATGATCCCATATCCAAGGTTGAAATTAAGTTGGAATTATTCTTTCTTCAAATTAAGCAGTGTCTCACAATGCCAGAAATTTCGTCCAGGGAAACAAAACAAGTAGTTCAGTGACCATACATGTTAGGATACAAACTATTGTGCAGCTTGTATTATCAGCTTTGTTGCTCCTATCTGTTCTACACCATCGAGAATTGTCTCCCTTCAGTGGATCATTGTGCTTAATGTATTTTCAATTTTTTTTTTTTGTGTTTGTTATATATGGTGTCATGCTTTATCGTACTACTTTAGTTTAATGTTTTGCTCCTGTTGTAACGTATGGATATAAACCTTGGCAGATGAAAAGGAATGATATGCCTTGGTTCCAATTTTGGTTTAGGTTTCGGGGATGACAAAATCATTTATCTTCATGAAAACACTCATGTAATGTTGATGATTGACTAGAAGCGAGACGTTATGAACTTCATGCTTAAAGTATCATTTTTGTTGGAATAGTCACAGATTAGGATGACATTTTTTGGAATAGTACAACACATGTTAGGACAACACACGGTGATAAGAATTTTATCCCGGGCATGATCCTAGTTAACCAATTAGGTTTTGAGGTGGAATCTTTATTGATACACTACATATATTGCTGTTTGTGTTGAGTTAAATGTTACTCTTTTTCCTGGCTGATGATTTTTTAGGCGAAAGAAGAATTATATTAAATCACATCATGTTACAAGCACTCTTGGAATATTTTTTCCTGACCGGCGTTGATATGCAAACTACTTGCTTTTTATGTTTCCGGTACTCTGCATCCTCTTGTTTACACTAGTAAAAAACAATTTTAGGATATAAGGCTTTTGATTAACAGAGGCAGATCTTTTTTTGGGAATAATTAACATAGGTGGATCTAAAATGAGGCGGCCTCTCTCAAAATATCCACCGATTTTTAGAGGCACACATTTATTTACGGAGACAGCATTGCTCTAAAAATCAATTAACAAAGATGGCTCTTAAGGCGTCCGTCTCTAAAAAGTATTTTCAGAGCGGACCTCAAAGAGGTCCTCCTCTATGAAACAAGTCAAGCCCAGTCCGGCCCATATCGTTCTCTTGTATATATATGTGCACCCTAGGGTTTCTTCTCATTCTCATCTCTCTCCTACTAGACGACGCCTACTCCTCTCTCCGTCTCTTGGACGACACTATTCTCTAAGACGTCTCTGCCTCCGCACGCACCCCATCGCCCCTGCACGACTATCCGTCGATCCTCGCCCTCACCCGGATGCTTGTCCTCTCCACTAGCACGACGACGGCCCCACTAGGACCACTGCTTGCACTTGACACCACCGTCGTTGGCTCCGTCTCTGGTGAGAAGGAGGCAACATCCGATGGGAATGAACCTAGATCTGGCAAGGAGAAGCCCCGCCGCTGTCGGCTCTGCCTCTAGCGAGAAGGAGGCCAGTG